AACATCAAGCCTTCCCGATAAACATCAACGTTCACTACTGCGGGCCACCCTGGCACCAACGACCGCCATTTGCAACAACATTTGCATGCACTTGTCAACTCCCAGATCCGGGGGAAGGTTAAAACAAAAAAATTCTCCAACATGGACGTGTTGAAATCATGTTGAACATATGTTGATCAACAGTTGAAAACATATAGCCCGCATGTTGATAAACGGTTGAAAACATGCAAACGGCCCGTCAAAACGATTTGGCCAACCATTTCACCCTCTTCATATGTTGGTCCTAATTTGTGTCGAAGTTGAAACCATGATGAAAATTTGCCACAATTTTTCTGTTGTTGGCGACCACGGTGACGACGGCGGCGACGACGGCGACGGTGGCGGAGAGAGAGAGAGAGATGGTAGGCTGGCTTTGGTCTTGAGGGACCCGTGAGTGCCTTCACTACCTCTCACAAGGCTTAAGGCCTTCGCGCAGGCTGGTTTTGATGCCGACGATTTGGCGCGACTCGGTTCACATGACCCTTTCCCCCACACCGGCCGTAGGAGCGACGAGAGGCACCCTCCTGGAGGGGCGTATTCGCCCCCGCCCTACATCGTGGATAGCCCTAGATGGTCAGGTTAGTCGCTCAGCGGCATTAGAGGGAGGGAGTCCGGGCCGGTTGATGGCGGGTCGGGCCGCCGCAGTGACGGCGGAGGATCTGCCGGAATGATGCGTCCGCCACCCGCACTGAGCACAGAGGGCGGCGCCGACGCGACTACGGTCCGTGCGTCCGTTGCCGGTTCCCCGCCGCCTGTCGCAGGTGGTGTTGCCGGCGGATGGGCAGCTCATCGCCGGGTCTCGGACCAGACGAGGGCGGATTACGATATCGGGAGGGGCGCCTTCGCAAGACATTTGTCACCTCAGTTTCAGGTTGCGGACAGCAGCGAGGGTGGCTCCRGACGTCCGAGTCTTCACATGGCAGGCCGCATGCTCGGTTTGTCTCGATCAGCGACGAGGAGAGTTTTGATCCCACCGCCGATTCCGGCCCGAGGGACAGTTGCAGACATGCAGCAAGGTCAGCACTACACATCCGGCGAGGAGGGGTTGCTGATGCGGAGAGGACTAGACGACATAGCGCCATCACGGAGGTTGAGGCTCTACCTGCAGTACAGATCGCCGCCAGCCAGGCTGCATTGGACGCGATTCAAAGGCATCGACATACGATTGCTGCAGCGGGGGCCGAGGACGAGGACGCGGACACAGAGTCCGAGCAGATTGACAGTGCAGTCTGCAGACATAGAGGGGCCGTGTCTGCGGCAGCCGCGACGACATACATCAGCGGTGCGCAGGGCACAGGTGGTGGAGGGGTCGGGGAGGAGCGCGTGGTGGAAAGTCCACCGGGAGAGGCCGCGGGCGTCCTTCCGGAGGTAGAGGATCTAGACCTTCCGCAAGGAGAGGGAGGCGTTAGTGCCTTTTTTATTTGTTATTTATTTTTTATTTTTTTTTACAGGACATCGTTTTGACAGGGTAGTTTCATAGTCATGTTGATGTTGTTGCTCGAGGTTGTATCATAGTTTTGTACATGACGCTGTTTTTATAGGGAAGTTTCCACAGGCACGGATGGTACGATCACCTTAGTTTTTTTTGTGAGGTATCGTGTGTCACGGTTTGGTTGACGTTCACGGGTACGGTTCTTGGCTTCAGACACGTACATATGCATTTGGAGTGGAGTTTATTTTTCATTGTCTTGTTCTTCTACACGCTCCTCTTCAACACTCGCTTTTGCATATGAGTCGCTGTTGTTCGGTGAGTGGTTTGTTGTGCGGTGAATGGTTTGTTGTTCGGTGAGTGGTTTGTTTTCGCAATGTTGCAAATTGTATCTTTGTCTGATGCCACACACATGCATGTTATGGTTGCCCTCATTGTGAATGTGTTCTAAATTTGGTATGCAAAATATGGATGATATGCTAATCAATGTGTTATTTCACTAACCTCACGAATGAAATTGATGCCTGCCTCTGCTCTGCCATACGCACCCCCATCCAGGCCCCACCCAACCCCCACCCAACCCTCGCCCAGCCCCCACGCCCCTGATGTCCAAGTTCAAGTACCCAGTATCCCACCGCTTGTAGTGGGAGACTGTGTACTTGCACTTTAACACTTGAACCCAAACCCACGCAGTGCCCCCATGCCCCGCCCTCCCCCCTCTCCCACTCAACCCAACGACAAACCCATCCACGGAACCTTCGGACTCCCATCCCCCCACGGTCCCACCCACCAGATACCCCCACCCCCAAAAAAACGAACCTGCAGGGGGCGCATATTTTTATTTTTATTTTTTCTGTGTTGCTTACCTTTCCCCCTACGCACCTGCATCAACGAACCGCAGTCCGGTGGACGCAAGAATTTTTTCGGCCCACCCTGCTAGACCCATGTTTAGGACCCCCCCGTTTTTTATTTTTTTGTCGGTCTGCCACTTCGAGGGCGTGTGGCGCCCCATCCCCACCCGGAACCCGCTCCCCTCTCCTGAAACCCCCTCTCATTTCGGTCGCGGCCGTGATCGAAAATTCTCGGCCGGAGCGGACGCACCCGGGGGGTTCCCGGTGTCGCACTTTTCCCAGTCGAGCCTTTTCGGGCAACCAGAAAGCCAGCAGGCTGTCACGCAGGATTTTGTATGTGATTGCAATTATAAATAAAATAAATTAAATAATGTAAATCCCTTCCTGTTGTGTACGTCCGACTTCGAGCGAGACCCTTCCATTGCGGTCTTCGCCAGTCCCCGGTCTTAGGAATCTTTTATTTTGATTCGGAATAGCAGAGAATCAAGCAAATAAATAATCATAAAATTATGGGGTGCTATGCATGCATCAAATATGTCAATCTGATTTTGAGTACTGCGACAGAATTATCCACAAAAGCAATCATCAAACAAAAACAATGCAAGAGACGAGACAGACTGACTCGAGGAAATAACAAGCTCAAATGAATGAGGGAAGAATGAGAACTCATAATAGTCTCAGAGAGTACATGTAGGAGAGAGCATGACCAACACCAATCAAGAGTTCTCACTCATCCCTCCGAGCCTCACTATTTCTCACTTTGTTGTCCGTCGTCTGGGCTTCTTGCCATGTCTCCGTGCTCTCTGAGGTTGTGGCTTCTTAATGTATAGCCACCTTAAGCCTACTAGTTCCAAACATTTCCAGCCAAGTCCCATGATACGGAAGTCAAGCATGGCATAAAATTCCTCCCATAGTGTCGGGAGATAGGGCCGAGAGAAAATGCCCCTCCTGTGATGCGAAAACTCAGAGGGCTCGGTCACTTTCTCATAGTCGATTAATGCTGGCGACGTGTACCTCTTGGCCAAGTCTACTAATCCGCCCCAATAAGAGCCGTCAGTGAGGTAGTAAGGGACCGGAGGCTTGGGATAGTCGGTGAACAGCTTAGGACCAAAGCTATAGACTAGCTTTGTTTTCCCATGGAGTCTCTCCGCTTTCCACTGCACATACCCAGCTGTTGCTGCCCACACCGCGTCAAAATGGGGGTGTGTCTCGTTCCCCTTTTTCAGGAAAATCCGTAGGTCGCTGACTGTACTTTCAGCGAACTCAGTGAGAACGATGAAGATCGATAGGTCTTCACACTTTAACCCATCAATCCTGACGTACTTGTAGGGGAAGCTCTCCTTGGCAACAATCAGATTAAGGTTGTCAAAGACCTGCTGGTCAACTGTGATGGGATTGATTTCTCTCATGTGCTTTGGATAAATAGTCACTCCCTTGTAGAGAGGGAAAACTGTTTTTGACTGACAAGTGTCCGCTGAATGATCGTCGGTGACTAGTGGACTGAAGGGTCCCCAAACACTTGATTAAGTGTTGCTTGAGTGTCTTTTGGATGATTTTTCGGGCGCTGTTCCTGAATGTTGTTTGTGAATATTGTTTCCCGAGTGCTGCTTCTTAATGCGAATCAGGTGACTGGATGATTGCTGACCAGAAAAATGAGTAGCTTTTGATCGAAAAATTGTTCAACTACTGATCGGAAAACAGATCAACTACAGATCCGAAAACTGATTGCTTGCTGTTCTAGAAAAATGATTGCTTGCTGTTCTGAAAAAAATGATTACTTGCTGTTCTGGAAAAGTGATTGTTGTTTTACTGCTCTGAATACTGTTTTGAACACTGTTCTGATCACTGTTGGACTGCTCTTAATACTCTTCTGATCAATGTTTGACTTCTCTGAATACTGTTCTGATCACTGTCCTGATCATCGGTTTTGCTGCTCTGAATACTGCCTGAATATTTGTCCGAGTATTGCTGGAATATTCGTCTTCGAATCGTGATTCACCGTGTCACCACGCTGCAGGAGCAAGGTGCAATCTGTTGCTGTTCAAAGTAATTAGAGTTCCGAGGGTGGTGATTAAAGCACTGCAGAACTTATACAAGACTTGCCCTGGCCTGTTCCACCGTCTCTAGAAAGGAGCTAGTACTGTGAAGTTGGTCATCAAGCCCGTAGAAATAGATTACATATTCAATGTACTTTCTTTCCCCCACTGCTCCGATGACAAACTCCCTCTGAATTAGCCTGTGTTTTTCCATGTCTTTATATGCTTCCTCTTCCCACCCCTCTCTGTTGTTTCGAACTAGTGTACACTTTACCACTAGAATGTCGTCGCTCCTCATAGCTTTCAGCAAGTACTAGATCCCAACAAATGAGTAGATCATACCGCAGTGGGTTTTAGCACGACCCTCCATTCTATATTGTCTATTGATCGAGTCTGACTACACGTACTTGCTCCTGGTAACTTCACTTTGAAGTACTGCACAAGTAACTTTTGCAGAGTCTATTGAGCTCGGTGTAGATGATCTGATATCAACACTGAACGCACTCAAAAGACATGGCCAGAGCACAACTTGTTCAACCGGAGCTTGCAGAGAACCAATTACACGCTACACTCTGCGCTTTGTGGGTGTGGTCAGCGACAATTACCAAGCTAGGTTTGCAGTCGCTAATGGGCTGACTAAATACACAGTTGAAGACTACTATTACTAGGCGGTAATGTAAAACTTTGATTGTTTAGTGCAGCGTTGGGGCACAACGTGCAAATTCGCTGTAAATCACTTTGAGCACTTCAAGGTTGAGCATGCAATTATTTCTCGACAATTCAGTTTCAGTTTTCGGCTTGACAATAACTGCTTCCCCCCCCCTTTCTCACCGTGGCTTTGAGGGTCAAGGAGATTTGGAGACTGAGTCCAATCTTACTTGCTTCTAGCCCTCCTTCAGACGAATACAGTAAGAAAGAGTCATGGTAAATGAACACAAAACCAATGCCAGTTTAAACCGCTCACCCGATGCCCTTGAGCACCGTTAACAGAAAAAAGCTCCGTTCAAACAGTACTCAACACATCCAGTGGTGAGCAAGCCTGTTGGCTTGCCCTTAATCTAAGGCTCCCAACCTTTCTGCCCAGTGAGATTTTCCCCGACAAAGTAATTTTTCCGAGCAAGGCGGAGACTGACAAGGGGGCACTTCTTCAAAAGGCGCTTCCTTCCACAATTTTTCTTTAACCCTTTTTAATCTCCATCAATTAAGTGTTTTACAAGGTGATACGTAATCTTTCTCAGAATGCGCTGAGTCTTGCCCATCAGGCAGTCGTTCGTTTCATTTCCATAAGATATATCCAAACCAAATCTCACCCGTTGACCAACTAGCTAAGGTTCCCTTGATGATTACCGGGAATTCCGCGTCATTGCGGGGGCTCACCAATTCCCAATAAGTAAGAAAAACATTTTCAGCCCCATCTTTGTGAGCTCGTTTTCAAGTGAGAAGCACAATCCCATTAATGACAATCAACGAAAACCTTTCTCACGAGAAGAAGGGTTTTTGAGGAGAGCGGGGGCAAGACCATCGAATCTGACCCAGTCACGCTCCGCCATATTCACTCAAGCTCTTAGTTCAACCACCCCTCTTCCAATTAAGCACGAGGAATCACAATTGCACAGGAGGGGACCGCTCTCGTATGCAACAAACAAGCCCCGAAAACTCTCCTCAAACAGCCTCGAGGTCATCTGACGAGTAAGTGCTACTTTTAATATGGGAAGTTATTTTTAGTAGTCATACTGGGCGAGTTGTTCTCTTTTCAGCAAACTCTAGCATAACCGATGCTTATGGCCGGTTCACGTCTATCCTCGCGCATACCTACGAAAACAAGTCACGTCACCAATACGGCTATTCGGGGTTTATCAAGTACTAAATGCTCACCTGCTCCCCACCTTTCGGACAGTATGTTTGCTCCTCTCTACCAGTGCCCCTTGGTCAGAATCCATATCACTCTGAGAATAGGACTCGTTCTTTACGTCACACACGAAAACAATCAACAGGGGCACAGTCGCAGTACTACTCATTACTGACCGCGATCTCATACACAGTGTTTTCGCTTTTACCCCACGTTATTTCCAAGTGATGACATGCTAGCCAGCATGACTTTAACTAATGAAAGTAAAAGTAAGGTGATCAATTTCTCATTGTACTTAGCTTGTTCGAGCTAGCCTCAAGTGAGTAGGTTGCCTGACGTTATAATACTGCACTGGTCCGCGATCCCATAGTCCATCCCACAAGCGGTCACCTCAGATACGGGACAGAGCTCGTTCCCTCTTGAACGGCCGCGTGCCTCTCTGGTGCTCTCGAAGAAGCAGAAATCAATGAGAATTCACTTCCGTTACAGTCGTCAATTTCACACTCACATTACCAGAGTAAGGGCAAGAAGCGCCTGTATAGTGGCGACTGTGACGTGAGCGGGGAGATAACCATGGGGAGCACTCGGTCCGGCAGAGCAATATCAGAGGCGCTAATTGGTCACTTATGTTCAGCTCTTCAAGAAAAGGACCCACGCACGTACTGGAGGCCCTCTTTTCCCACTCATTTCAGCTCCACTGCCTTCCGGATACGAGCACATCACTGCGGTGACCCTTCTTATCAGACCCGTGAGCATACCCGAAAAAAAAGAAAGGGTTGATGTCTTCAACCTCCACTGTGCACGGCCATTGACCTTCTTCTTGCCTCCCTAACTAGCACACGCCTCGTTCACATGCAGTAGTTAGCAACTCTGTGCATCGACTTACTGATCTTGCACGGTCCAACCGAGGCACCTATACGATCTTGTGTCTCTCGTACCCGCTCGGGCCAGTGATCTCCAAGCTTCTCTTCACCTCACGCACGAGAAGACATGGGAAACGTCAACAAGAACTGCCCTCTTCACTCCTTAGTTCGTATCCCCACAACATTTCTAGCCCACAGTCAACTAGGAGGAGCATACAGGGATAGCAAAACAGGACGTCCACCGTGTTAGGCAAACTCATGCCCAACTCGGGCACACAAGACCATCTCCCTTCCTACCTCTCTAGGCCATGCCAGGTACAGACAGTACACGCGCACGGGTTCAGCCTCGGCTCGACTTCTGGGTTCGACGGTCCCGCCGCTCTTCTCTGCACGCCAACACTACTCCACACTCCATCCCCGAAAGAACAATGGGGCGTTAACTAAAACCCTCCTCAATCGTATTAGCTGCTGATTGTCATATCCCTCGACGTAGCGGATCAGAAGACAAGGAGAAAACGGAGAGTGGAGGTAACAGTTGATGACACCCGCACCCTGCAAGCTTGCGCGCGCTCTCCCTCCTAGTCTCCCCTTCTGTTGACCTTCCCTCAATGCCTCTGGCCTTGCCACGTGCAGCCTGCTCACGCTCGTAACCGTCCTCGCCCCTTTCGCTCTCTGCTGTTGACCTCCCTTCGCGCCCTCTCAAACATGTCTTTTCCCCCTGTTCTACTTCTCACCTGTTCTGCGGCCTCTGGGCGTCAGTTGTCTCGAGCTGGCCTCGGGTCCCTCCTACACCGGCTTCACGGCCCGGTGATGCCTTTGGATCTCTCCCGGTATGTTCCAGGACCTGAGATCCGTCTCCCGATCTGCGTCACTCATCTCACTTTCCCCTCCCGAGTCTCTGTCCTGGTGGACCTGTTCCAGGTCCGCTGTGTCCATCGAGGTCTCAGTCTCGTGGTAAGCCACCGTTATCCGTAGCCTTGCCGTCACTCCGTCCCATCTACAGCGTCTCTCCGCTCGGTCTCTCGCCTCCGAAATCGCGTCCTGCACCTTCGGGTTAGTCCGCATCTCCCCCTCTCTTGCTCCCTCCACGTTGATCTTCAGTAGCAGTTCATCTCCACCGTCGTAATTGAGTATGACGGTAATCCAGGGCCCTTCCCCAGACACGGGTTTCCAACGGGCCTGGTGGTACCAGTACGCGGGCTTGTACCCATGCAATGCCATAATCACTCGAAATTGCCAAGAAATTAGTCTCCAGAAACTCACACAGAAACAGCCCTTTATAGGCCCCGGAGCTCCGCCCTTTCCCTTGTCTCAGGCCCACAGCGCTAGTGCAGCGGAAATACTCTGCGACTAGCATGCGTACAACTAAACTCTTCTCTCTTTTATAGGTCGTAACCCTGTGTTCTGAACGAGAGCCCCGAGTACTTCTCAAACTTCAGCACTCTAATTTCTATAACTCCTAATACAACTTCGTAAAAAAAAGAAATACGAGACGCCAACGGTCAAACTCATGTCCGCAGGCTAGACACAGTGGTCCCATAATGGGTTACTAGTGGGCGCTCGCCCTTATTTAAAACCCTCAGTCTGGCTTACCACCATCGGGTACCCATGTCTGATGGTAAGGAGGGGGTTGATGACCTCCTATAGGGGGTGACGAACCTCCTACCGATGCTGCCGCGGGTCGCCCCTCTTTTGTGGCCTAACCGCGCGGCGCTCAATCAGCGCTCACTTTCAGACTAAATAAATGGGGTCGGCCAACTAGGACCACAGATCAAAATCCGAACCGTTGGCCTCCCCATGATATGACCGAAACTGAGAAAAAAAAGGATGCGCCTGAAAACCGGTAAAGTAATAATAACAATAATAATAATAAGAACAATAATATTAATCGCTGAAAAGGAAAGGGTGGAGTCCCAGAATTTCTCCGCGCAGCACTCTTGCCTGAACAGCGACCCACATTCACCCACAAGTCTAGCACCCGACTTTCAACCTTTTCTGTTCCTTTTCTTTCTTTTACTATTTTTCCTCCTTTTAGTCCTCACTATATCTGCCTCTTATCTTGGCCATCGGGGTCCCACCACGAGGTTCGGACGAACAGTTCTGGTACAGGCGATATAAAAAGAGGTAGATAGAGCCCCAGACCATAAGACCGCAGTTGAAGTCCGAAAATCGAAATCAGCGGCTCTCCTTGCGAAATGACAGATCGACAGGCGGCAAATTGAAAATATGGAAATTAAGTAATAACAATAATAATAATAATAATAATAATAATAATAATAATAATAATAATAATAATAATAATGATGGTGGCTATTCAAAATTGGAAAGGAAACCATAGCATCACAGTGACCTGAGGTCACCGGATTTCCCCATACAGAAACAAGTTTAAATTTGACGTTTTATTCTCCCTTTTCTCTTTTTTTCTCTCCCGACAGCGACTTATATCCCTTGTATCTAACCCATAACTTGGCAATAAGGCACTCAGCGCGCTGTAGAAAGGACCGCGCCAGTCCCTTCACCTTCGCGTCCCAGGGCGCGCCTGACGGCTACCACGGCCACAGGCCGGTAGTGCTCTGCTGTACAGCAGGGCGTCGAGCCTGCGTGGACCAATGGAAGCCCTGTGGCGCACCCTTTTGCTGAGGGCAACGTCACCAGGGCCGGTCCGAGCCGGAAAACAGTCCAAGTACCAGGCCTACAGCAAGAGAAAAGGAGCCTAGTGATTAGTAAGTCGGGACAAAGGACTGGCTCTGAGCAAAGACCTAGTACACAAAGGAGGGCCGGGACACCGTACCCTTCGACACCGGCCGCGGCCGTGGCCGAATTCGGCCGCAACCAAGGGGAAACATAGGTTAAGGGTGTGATAGTGCCGATCAAGAGTTTCACGGGGTAGGGCTCGAATATGCTACTTTGTCGTCACTTCAAAGGTCTTTACGATGGCAACAGCAGGCGTCTTTCACCGCCAGTGGAATATCTCGATCTCGTGCTGAAGGCGCTGAAAGACCGTCCGGTTCTTCCGCGAGAATATGTTTTTCGGCTTCTGCCAGCCCATGAGAAGTCGTCAAGCTTGGCTCAAGAAACCTTTGTGACGCCAGTGGGGCACGGGAGTGTGATTCACAATGCTGGGGGTCAGGGCAAGGGCCAAGTGTGCAGCATTCAGACGGAGCTCGGCTCGGACGCTCTTGGAAACACGTCTGGCTTGCATTCTCCACATGCAGGGACTCACCGGGTCGGTACTTCGAAAACCCTCAAGGTCGTCTGCCAGGGCGACACATATTCGATTCGAGATGAGAAGAGAAGAGACGCGGGCAGATCAGGGCAAGATGTTGGAGGGAATGAGGCTGAAGGGATGAGCGTTGTGCGCGACAGCTCAGGCGGGGAGCTAACTTCTTCGGAGAAGAAACGTGAGCGACAGAAGACGGTGCGAGAAGAGGTGGCAGAACAAACACGACGCGGGAAGAGGATGAAAGGACACTCAAAGCCGATGATTGGCGAGGATGAAGGTGACGTCGAAGAACGTGCCTCGGTAGAGAGGACGCTAGGGATGCGTGGCAGACAAGAACAAGGAGTGAAAAAAAGGCAGTCGAAGGAAAAGGATGCAACAACAACTAAGAAAGCGAGGAGGCCCGACAGTTTGACCATCCGCGAAGAACAAGCTATGGGTGAAGGAGATTCGACTCGTCTAGGCATTGCCACCGCGAGAGAACCTTCAGACAAATCCAAAAGGAAACTGGCTGCTGAAGAAGGCGATGGCCAGAAGAAATCTCGGAGGAGGAAGACTGCTGAGGGGACGACAGGTAGCGAAAGGGCGGTCGGCGGGCAATACGACGAAGCGGCCGCGTTTGGCTCGAATACGAGCGGAACGATGATAGTGAGATCGTGGAGAAGGAGCTTCCCATTCAACAGCTCATCGACCCCAGGAGGGTCTGCGACATCCCCCCGTGGGAACGATATTACAATCACCGCAGTCTCACTCGCGATGGTGTGTTGGACATCAAGGGTGCGATGGTGAGGCAGTTCCACGAGGAAAAAGGGAAGATGGACGAAAAACCTTTTGGCTCTGGCACCCATCTACAAGCCGGTGACGCATAAGCCGAAGAGAGTTGAGAGGGTTCACAAGGATGTCTTTAAGCTAGAGGACAAGGTCAAGTACGTCTATTACCCGGTCAACGGACAATACACCGTGGCTGCTGTGAAGGAGTTGGCCAATGAGGCGATATTTGAATTGTAGAAGATGCACTCGTGGCCGGCGAGAGTCGTGTGGTTCTCCGACGAAGACTTTGGGGGCTATTTGCAGGTCAGTCTCATGGAAAACACAAGACACAAGATGTCTAAGCAGTGTGCACAGAAGGTTGCTTTCGAGGATATGCGAGAGGCATGGGAGAATCAAGGAAGGTCGGTGGCCATTCAGGGGAACCCTTCTGGTAAGGAGGCTGGAAAACAAGCGTTTTTCGAATTCCCAAAGTTGCTTTTGGGAAAGTGTCCGAACGGGGCTAACTGGACGATGGCACGTAAAGCGACAACGCTTGCCGACAAGAAGCACGTCGCAACCATTGGCAATGAATTGAGGCAATGGATGCCGCTCGTGACGACCGGTGATGACGTTTTCCGCAAAGGCATGAAGTTCTACGACAAATGGGCCGAGGGAAAGTTTTTGGGCAGAAACGGGAAGACGCCCTTGTGGATTCTCGAAATGGGTTTGAAAGGAGCGACTGGTGAAATGAAGATGGGGTCGCTGGTCCAGGTCCCGCCGCCTCCGACCAAAAAGAAAACGCAGGCGGACGACAAGTTCTTCGTCGTCGTGAAAGAGTCAGACATGTTGTGTTGGCAGTGTCTCGCTGACATCACCGATGCTGCAAAACTGTCGATTCTCGACGACATTCTCGCGCTGAAGGGAGTGTTTGTGCAATCGGCGGGCATGAGTCCGAAACGCCAAGATAAGCCTGAAATTAAAGACATGGTAGCGACGAGGAAAGTGGACCGCATGATGCTCCGCATGTTTCACTACATCTTGTTCCTTGAATCGGAGGAGGACACAAAGGTTTGGCGCTACAGGAGCCCTTTTTTTCGGACCGAGGGGCAGCTTCTGGCGGAGTTCGGCCCGCAGGGCCTCACGAAGCAGGTGTGGGTCGAACTGCAAAAGCATTTCCAAGGCGCGGTGGAGTACGTGAACACTTGCAAACGTACTCTTTCGTACGAGAAGGAGTCCCTCGACGAAACGAAGAGAATGTACGATGATGAGAGGTTTCCTAAATCTTTCGAGAAGTCCGTGCGTTCCATCTTGAGACGAACGTTGGAAGAAGTCCAAGACACGATCAGGGTCAGCGGGGATGTGAGGCACATCAAATGGCACAAGCTCAACCGGGTGACCAGCCTTATTCCTTTCGGTTGTCCGCCTTCCCAAGCTCACAGTCGTCTCACTGAGATCCGCGAGATTGTGCGAAATTACGTATGCAACTTGTACGTCCTCGATTTGTGTGATCCCACACTCCTCTCAGACTGGCAAGAAGACGATTTCTCCTCCTTGCAAGGCGTTCTCCAAACCCTATCGCCAAGGCACTGGGCACTTATCGTCTTCTTCCCTTCTCGTTCGGAGCTCTGTTTCTTGAAAGGCATGACTAAGCTTAGCGTTCATCACGTAAGGACAGGGAAGTGGGTGCGCCATGCAGAAAGGAAGGCCACTGTTCGGGAAGACAATATGCTGGTCGAGGAGTATGATCGCCTGTACGTGATTTTCAATGGCGAGAACCTGACACACAACACGGTCGTTGTCTTCCCGGGGAGTAGTCCATCGAAGCCTCCCCGTGCCAATGCTCCAAGCCCGGCCCAAACGTGATATGTATTGGAAATTGCCGGAGAAGAAAAGGGCATGGGTTTGGGAGTTCCTTTTCCAGCCAGGACCGCCTTCGCAGACCAACCTAGAATACAACCGACGGAGAAACCTGGTGTTCGGTGTGTTGAATGGTTACCACGATGCGCCAAGGAAGTCTGTCTCAAATTTCCTCAAAAGGCTGGAGCACGTTTTCTTCTTGATGGCCGAACCACTGACCCTCGAAAACTACAAGGCACAGTTCGACGAGGAGGACCCTTTCGACGCTGAGGACATGGAGGAGATTAGCGAATCCGAAACCTTCCATTTCAAGTCCATGCCACTTCCTCGGGTGGTTGCACAGGTTGGTGACGAAGGGGAGGTTGTTCCTCGGAGATATAGCACGTGCCCTGCCGGTTTGAAGCGTGTGTTTGAGCACGAAACAGTCGAGGACCAATCTTATGATGACGGGGAAGAAGAGAGAGACTATGATTACGAACCTGCTGACAAGCTCCCTAGGGACCATGATACCTGGGAGAATGACAGGCTCTTCTTCTACAGGAAGCATCACCGGTTCACGCCGGAGGATGTCTCGGGCCACAACGTCGTCTGGCACCCCAGAAAATTCCAACCTGCTTTAAAGACTGGAAAGTGGGTCATGGCAATGAAGGAAGCTGATGGCAAGTGGAGTAGCATGAACAGACTGGGAGCGGGTCCATTTAAAGAAGGGCGAGAGACGCTCTGGTGGAGCATTTGAGGGTTATGAACCCCCACAGCAGCCTGCCGGACGTCAATGCGTATGCAGGCCAAAAGCTAGATGAGTTGTACGCCAACAACATGTTGGAGTTTCGAGCGCCTTTCTACGCACTGGAGACGGCACCGTCTCGTGGCATTAACTGGCGCATGCCGCAACCTCCGTCGGGTGGTCAGCATCCGGGAGGCGGTAGAGGAGGGGACGAAGGAGACGGCGGAGGTGACGGAGCATACGGCTCAAGCTCTCATGGAGGTGGTGACGGAGGAGACGGCTCAGGATCTGTTGGAGGAGGTGAGGGAGGAGACGGCTCACGATCTGCCGAAAAGGGGTCAAGCGGGAAGGGGCCGGGCGGAAAGGGGTCGGGTGGAAAGGGGTCGGGCGGAAAGGGGTCGGCAGGGAAGGGGTCAGGCGGAAAGGGGTCGGGCGGAAAGCGTAGAGCATTCAGGAGTCGTGAGTCTATGGAAACTGATAGCCACTGTGTAGGGAGTCGAGATTCCGACATGCGAGACGAGGCCGCCCTGAAGTCTTATCAACTGCGAATAGATTCGCACTTGTCTGTGAGGACTTTGTTTCCCGATATTGAGGAGAGTCCGTCCCACCGTACGCAGCCGACGTCTCCTGTGCACAACACCTTGCTCCTACACCTCTTGGAAGAGGGCAAATCTCTGTAGCATACGGCAGCATCTCCTGAGCGGCAAGACCATTCCTTGGCAGGGACTGCGTCTTGGTTTTGCCAGGAGGGCGGGATGCCTGCATTGCGAAGGAGCGAAAGTGCGACCGTAAGTTCCCTCGGCTCCGGCGACCGCCTCAAACTCCGAATAGATTCGGAGGTCCCGACGTCGCCCTGCGGGGCTTCCGCCAGCAGTGCTTGCCGCAAAGTCTGAATACATTCGGAGTTACGGACGTCACCCTGCAGGCCTTCCACCAGCAGTGCTCCTCATTGTACAGTTCCGCGGGGCCAAGAAAATGTGAGGTCCAACCCCCCCCATCTTCTGTTGGGCACAGTGTTTCCCTGCTCACCGCCTTTCTTATATGTTGAGACTGAAGACTGGCAGTCTCGCAAAGTGTTGGAGGGGCCCACTGCAGGAGTGTTGGAGATCGGGGGTAGCGAGTATGAACGTCATGCTTCGAGGGGTGTATACGTCGACTCTGAGACCAAGAGCACAGCAACTCCTGAGGAAGAGGAGCTCTCATCGGGAGCGCATGCTCTGGAGCGGGAAGAGGAGACTCAACACAGGCAGTCTCGCAGAGTGTTGACGACCGGGGCTAGCGAGCATGAACGTCAAGCTTCGGAGGGTGCGTCAGTCGACTCAGAGAGCAAGAGTACAGCAACTCCGGGGGAAGAGGAGCTCTCACAAGAAGTGCATGCTCTGCAGCGGGAAGAGGAGACTCAACACTGGCCGGCTCGCGAAATGCTGAAGGGGCTCGACGCAGGAGTGCTGGTGACCGGGACGTCCGAAGAGGTTCTGCACACTCAGTCGGTTGTGGCGACAACGCAAGAGGGTGACGTTAAGGGACGTCAGTGGACGTTTGAGGAAGGCAATGACCGTGGGGAGGAAGGGCGTGTGTGGACGTTCGTTGAAGCTTGGCTTTTTGGCGATGAGGAAGGCGAAGAAGAACCCCTGGTGGAAGCTCGAGTTCATGGCGATGAGAAAGGCGAAGAACCCGTGGTGGAAGGCGGTGTGGTGGCGGTCGGCATCCAGATGAATCCAAAGCGAAAAGTTCATAATTCTTCGTCCACCCGCAGTGAAGAACAAGGTGATCGAGCGTCTGTCCTCTGTACCGGTCGGGAAATGGTACTTTACGAAGCCATCGAGTTGGGTAGCGACTCAGCTGCCACCGAGCTGGTTAACGACTCGGCCGTGGCTGAGGTGCAGAACGTCGAATCCTCCGTCGACGTTGGCACAGTGGCATGACAGGAGGGCGATTTACCTCGAAGGACTCCCGAGCACGGTACGATTTGTGAACAGTAGCACTCGCATATCGGTCACTATTTAGCTATGTGTTCATCCAAATTGATGTGATGGGCTTATGTAGCTATTACCACTTGTTAAAAAAAAGTTTGTGGGTTGTGGGTTGTTTTCTATGTTTTATAGCTGTGAGGTTGTGAATGTCCCTGCCTATGAAGCCTTCAAAAGACATGTACGGGAAATGTTTTTCAGGGAGGTCATTGGCCGCTTTACCGAAGAAGTCGTCTTCAAGTGTAGGGTTGTTTAAAAGGGTCCAGATGCCTCGCCTTTCCCAGAGAGCTGTCAGGGTTCTGCTGGCTTGTGGAATTGATAAGGATGAAGCTTTGCAGAAACATGTGGTTACGTTTATTGAAAGCGTTACTGATTTGTCTGATGGGTCTGATGACGATGCCAAACGGGCCGTCTCCAAAGACCCGTATCCTAAGTACATCGCCAAGGACACATTCAACGGTCGGGGATATAACTTTCCTGGAAAAAGGGCACACAGTTCTTAGCCAATTAGCGCTGGTGATTTTGGTCGCTCCTCACACTTGTTCGTGGGTGTTTGTGCAGCTGGGGCTACATGATCTTTTCACGTTTCCTTGCTGACTGAGGAGCTTAGCGCTACAGAGTTGAGAATGTTGCAGGACGTCTGTGGGGATTTCAGCAACGATCACGAGGTGATTTCCTCGATTCGCAAAGGGGCCAGTTCTACTCTGTTGAGCAGAAAAAATCTTCGGACACTTGTCCAGGGGGGATGGCTTTCCGACGAGGTGGTGGCGTCGTAGTTGGCCTTGCGTGGCAACGCTACGTTGCCTGGGTGTCCCTTAGTTTACATTTTCAGTCCGTTTTTCTATACCAAGCTCGTCGGTGGCGGATGTCGACATGATAGGGTTGCGAGATGGACAAAAGATGTGTACGACATGGTATTGATTCCTGTTCATTAAAATCGAGTGCATTGGACCCTATTATGTGTCCGCAAAGAACGGTTGGAGTACTACGATTCCCTCCTACAAGAAGATGGCGGTTTTTCTTTCGATGTGTTTAACTTTGCGAACTTCACGAAATACCTCCGTGACGAAGCAGTTAGTCAATATGGTCAAAATGCGAAACTGGATCTCCCGACGCCCGAGGTGGTTGTTCATGGTGTCCCTCAACAGTCGGACGGGTCGAGGTGCAGTGTTTTCATGCTCGCCTTCGCTTCTTTTCTTGCACGTGGCCATCCACCATCATTTCCGATAGCCCACAACGACATTCCAAACATCAGGCTGAGGATTGTGGTGGACATACTCCAGGGCTCAGAATGATGCCCCTATTTCAAAAATACACAAAGTTTTTTATTCGAAAGGCCATAAGCAGAAGTACGAATTTATTCCCACTTAGTCCAGCAGTCGGCCGGTTCGAGCTGTGCTGTTGTTTTGATGAGGTAGCGGATTGCAGTTGACGTTTTAATCAAGTAAACGCTTAGGTGTCGATGTGAATATCCCAACCTCGTGCTGTAGTATTTTTTTAATGGTTCTTCATTTCGAGGAACCTGTCAACTTCACTCGTCGGACTTTCGGCAGCGCCGTGCTGCCTTTGTTTGTTTTCAAGTTATTCTCATTCCTTGTCGAGCGACATCAGCTACAGGGTTGCAGCGGACGCTTAGGTGAAGTAGAAGCTTAAATGTCGATGTTAAATTCATAGCCACGTGGTGCAATATCTTTTAAGTAGACGCTTAGATATCGGATGTGAATATCCCAGCTTTGTTTTCGGGTTGTTCTTGCGGTAGCGCCGTGCTGCCTTTATTCGTTTCCAGGTTTCCACGACCGCGGCAGCGCCGTGCCGTCTTTATTCGTTTCCAGGTTGTGCTCCTGTGTTACTCATGGGATAATTTTTTCCTTTTGTGGACATTCTTTACACTCGTGCTCGTAGGACTCGGTACTGTGGTTCATTTAGCAAGATGTTGGTGAAAAATATCAATGATTTCTTCTTGGTCGTCAAATTCTTTCGTGCTTATCTCTTTCATACGCGAGACTTTGTGGTGTGAAAGCCCCCCCCCCCGACCGCCCAACTTTCACATATTTTGGCTCGCCCCTGTTCTACGCCTACCGCCCCGTTTTACAGTTCACCCCCTCTGTTGTGCCGTCCTTCCCACAACCATTATCCTTCTTGCCTCCACAAAATGCTGACTGTTGGTTCATTTATGCAAGTTCTGCACCAAAATGATTGATTGGCCAGATTTGTAACCTTATGCGTTGTCAGTGGAAGACTGATCATTTATGCAAGTTCGCAAAAAATGATATTTTATTTAAAGGTCTTCTGTCTTATCGACAAAATGGATGAATCGCGAAAAAGATTGTCGTTTAAGTCATGTCTTGCCAAATGTGAAATTGGCTCCTCCATCTTCGTAAGGTCGGCATACGACAAGTGTTTCCTTCAAATTTTTGATATTTTTCCTAGAATGATCAATGAGCAAATCTACGAAGCCTAAAATTTTCGGAATTTTCTGTGAGTTCTTCTAAGCGCATTGCCGCTGTCAAATTGTGAGAGTAGACCCGACTTCCCAACAACTGCGATTGAGCATCCAAGACTTCCCAACAACTGCTAACCTGCGGGACCTGAAGTTCAATTCTGTTTGTGGAGTGCAAAACTCTGCTCGAAACAGATTCAGGTCCGACAGGAAGGTGAACCACAAACCCACCAAACTAGTCCCAGTGGCGGACTTCAGCTTCAAAGACTGCCCAAAAACTGATAACCTGCGGAAACAAATCCACACCCATCATCAACGTTCCCTAAGAGTGCTAATGGCAATCCGCGCAGAGAACCAACGACTGTTTGACACTTCTTGAAAGTGTTGAGTCAACAAACAGATCAGGACATAACTTCAACCTGGCATCAAGGTTCCCTGAGAGTGCTTTTGGCAATCCGCACAGAGAGCCAATGACTGTTTGGCAGTTCCTTAAGGTGCTCTGTCGTACACCGATAACTGCGAATTGATTCTCAGTTCAACTAGTTTCTGTCAATGCCTTTCCGGGTTAAAGCAAGGAGCCCGGACTCTCTCTCTCTCTCTCTCTCTCTCTCTCTCTCTCTCTCTCTCTCTCTCTCTCTCTCTC